GTAAGTGGAAAAACAAATTGATCTCTCTCTCTCTCTCTCTCTCTCTCTCTCTCTCTCTCTCTCTCCTCTCTCCTTCCCTCTCTCTCTCTCTCTCTCTCTCTCGCACACACACACACACACACACACACACACACACACACACACGAGCACTCAGAACTCTAAACCCACAAACCCATAGATGCTGCCACACTTTAAGCTGCGTGACTGAGATCTAGAGGGCTGGCCCTGGCACTGCTTTTCTTCTGCCCATGCCCTGTGTCTTCCTTCACACCTATTAAGAGGGACACGTTGGACTGTAAGGTCCACAAGAAAGGAACTAAGTCCTTTTTGTTATTTTCTCTTTTTCTCTGCAACACACACACACACACACACACACACACACGCACACACACGTACACATTACAAATAAATAGAACAATGAATACAGCAACATAATATGTGCTGAGCGGGGACTCCTGAACCCTGTGAAATTAGCTGGAAAACAAGGTGAGGTCTCCGCTGTGGGACACAGGGAACTTCATTTGCTCATTCTAGTGGTTGTTAGGGCCCTTGGGAAGGGGATCAAATTGATCACCTCCCGCTTCTTTCTCAGCCTCGCCAGTCTCCAACTGTAGAAGCTAAAAATGCTGTTTACTGAATAGGTACTACATGCCAAGCGGATACATGCATCGTTTACTCCAACAACCTGAGAGTAAGGTCATCATCACTTCCAATTTGCAGAGGAGGGAGCCAAGCCTGTGAGAGGGAAAGCACTTCCTCATTTGGGCAGATCCTCATTTGTTATTATTCTCCTTGATTTTTTTTACACAACTAGTAGGTGGTAGTTTGCAGTCCATCTCAAACAGTTGTAATCTAAAACTGGTATTTAGTGTGTACTGAGCAAGCTGTCCAGAGAAGGGAAAAGAGAATAATGAGACAATCAAATCTGGGGGGACGGGGGAGGGGGGGCTCTCTCAACATGGAGTGCAGGCACTTACTTTGTATCTGTCGTCCTGCTGGCCAGGGGAATGGAGATGCATTTCATGGGACCTTTGCTCTGGAAGAGTCTACACATTAATGTGACATTGACAGGAATTAGTTATTATCTGAGCCTCCCCATTAAATATCAACCAGTGGGATGTTCCCACTATCGCTGCTGGGAATGCAAAATTATACAGTCACTTTGGGAAACAGTGTGGCAATTTATAAGAAAGTTAAACACATATCACACACTTAACAAATGGCACAGCTGCGGTACTCCTGAGTATTTAACTGGAAAAAAAGGGGGAGGGGGAATTTATGTTCACACACAAAGGCCTGTGTACAAATGTTAACAACAGTTATTCATATTAGCCAAAGAACTAGCAACAATCCAGTTAGTGAGTAGATAAGCAAATTGTGTCACATTGATACAGTGGGATACTGTTCTGCAATAAGAAATGGCAAGCTATTAATTTGATGAATTCAGTGACATGGATGTACCTTAAAAGTATCATGCTAAGTGAAAGAAACCAGTCATGAAATATTACACACTCTTTTATTTTTATGCCGTTCAGAAGACAGAAAAATTATAGGGGTCAGAAATCAGATCCCAGAGTGCCTGGGAGCTGCGTAGGCAAAAGGGCATGAGGACATTTTTGGGGTGTTGGAAATCTTCTTTGCCTTACTTGTGGCTGTAGTTATACAACTGTGTTCCTTTGTCCAACTCAAACTGAATCTTTAAAAGGGTGGGTTTTATTGTATATAAGCAAAAAATCAGGACTTTAAAGTATCTATCAGCGAGTTCAAACCCACCATTTTCCGAATGGGGAAGTGACCTGCTGCAGCAGGTGTGAATTGGGAGTATGGGTTTGGCCCCAGTCCTGAGGCAGAAGGGAGCCGAACCCTTGACCTCCTCCTGCCTTGGTCCACCTCACATCCCAGATAGAACTGATCCTCCATCTCAGTGCGGCTTTGTGGGTGACTTTTTAAAACTCACTACGCTGTACTGCTCATCACACTGTTGACCTGCAGTTGGCTAGTGGGCGTCTAATTAGAAAACAAAGTAAATTTGCCGTCAGCCAGAATCCGAAGAACAAAAAACTCCAGTAAGGAACGTCTATGTCCATATTCCAGTCTCCTTTCTTTGAGAGGAGGAATAAAGGCAAAACAGTGCCATTAATTTATTCAGAAGAGTGCCTTGTGGGACACTGCCACCCAGTTTAGAAAGAACAAAATGTCCCAGAGGTTGACATCAGCTTCTTGTCTCAGAGAGCAGGCTACAGTTAAGGTGCGCCAGACCTGCTTGTAGTTTCCAAATCTTTTACTATCTGACTTCGAGTCCTTATGTAGCCACTTAACTTCTCTGTAAGACAGTGACAGTTCCTGCCTCCCAGGGTTTTTGTGAGGTTCAAAACAGAGATTGGGAAATAGAGCACTTAGCTCACCTAAGATAGACTGCTCTGGGATGTTCAGCGCTGGGCTGCGCTTCACAGGCCTCATCAGACCTTAAAGTCATTATTCCCCCATGTGGAGCCATCAAGCCCAGGGTGAGGAATCCATCAGAGAGTGAGCTGGCCAGGGCCTTGGGCTGTGTGTAGAGTTCAGTAAATGATTGTGGACCTGAATCTATAAAGTAATCGGTTGGGGAGATTGTAAGAATTGAAATTCTGTTTCTTAATTTGAGAGAGAGCCTTGTTTCAGTTTTGTTTATTTTATTATTTTTATATTTTTTGCTTCTAAGGAAAGAATGAATGAAAAAACAATTGAAGCCACAATTAGAGCCCTGATGAGTGCCGTACTCCTGGTTGAAGAGATGGTGTCCTCCCCAGTCACATCTTCACTCAGCCTCCTCTCTCCTTTTCCAGAAAAAATATACCCCAAGGATCCAAGAGAACTTATGCTACTTGGGGCCCAGCTAACCCAGAAAGCCAGGGAGACTCCCCACTGCCCCCCAGCAGGCGACTCTGGGGACACGCTCTGTAATCTCGAACCCTGTCTGCCTTCTGAGAGTTAGAGGCCAGTTTAACACTAACTGAAATAGGGTGGATGTTATGAAACTTAACCAAGTAAGTGTTCTTCCATTTTCACTTGAAAATATTTCTTGCTCCATCACATAGCCAATAGAAGCCTGTATTTACAAAACGCTAGCTAGTTTTAATAACCCAAGACACCTGGCAAATATCAATTGGCAAACTTACCGAAGACAATAGAATTGGTTTCTATACTGTGTATTGAAATCCCTTCATTACACACCACTTGTGCCTGGGCTCAGTTTTGCTTTCCTAACCGTTGTCTTCTAATGTGAAGTGGCCAGTGAGACTCACAGATTCTAGTGCATCCTGTCAGGCACTGGGTGCAAGTTTATGTCATGCCCTTGTACTCAAAGGGCATAATTTAGGCTGGAAGTAAGCATGCTAGGTTCCAATGTGTAGAGAACTGGATAAACATTAAAGCGCTATATGGCAGGAGAGCACACATGGTTTAGGTGCCAGAGATTTCTCTATTGCCCGGGACAGAATTATTATCCTCTTAAATAGCTTGGAGCCTGAGGACTAAAACACTAGAGTCAAGGCTAGTGGTCAAAGAGAGCCTTTAAAGACAATTCTCCCAATACCTAGCCCGGAGCTGTTTCCATTGGCCCACACCTCCTCTCCTTTGTGTAGGTTATTTAATAAATTCATTTCACAGCCTGCAGAGCACAGTAGGAAACAATGCAATTACTGAACCAACCGGAGGAACACAGCTGCCAGCATCTTGTTGATTCGGAATTGTCCAAACACTTCCATGTGGGGGTGGGACTGATACAACTTGCTGATTCAACAGTTGACATTGACAAATTGGAGTTTCATTTCCTCAGCCTTCTGTTGGAAGTGCTAATGAGCACTGCCAGGCTGCAGAAACACAGGAGGGAGAGAGACAGGGAGACTCCTTATCTACATGCTAACTAATTGAGCCTGGGTGATGGCAGACTTGACACCCTAGGTAATAGGTGGACACATTTGAAGCACTAATGAAGGCCAAATAAAATCAACACTGTCAACAGTTTTAAGTTCCACTTGCGGATTATGTGGGCCGCTATCTTCATCTATTAGAATGTTTGCTTTTCCTAATATTCTTTTATATGTTTCCTGAAACATTCTTTTATATGTCATGGGGCACTATGCCAAGATTCCTTGGTGTCTGGAAAATGGGGGGTTGGGGGTGGACCAGATGATTTCTGAGATCTCTTCCTGGCTCCATTTCTTGACTTGTTTGGCAAGAGAATTTGCCTGCAACGAATTGCGTGCCCCTTTCTCCTCACACATATTGATCCAGACCTCTGTTTTCCCCATTCATCTCCCCATTCATTCATTTTGGATGCTTACTCTGTGCCAGACTCTGTGCTAGGAACTAGAAATAAGATAGGGAATAGGCCAGAACACCACCAGACCCTTACTCTCAAGGGTTTACTTTCTAATAGGGAGACCGGTAAGTAATAGTGAATCAGGGACATGTTAGGAGGGAGCCCCCACTAGTATGAAAGCTCATAGGAGAACCCCTTCGTCAGACATACTCAAGGAAAGCGCCTCAACCATTTCACATTTTAAGTTGCTCCTTCAAATAAGAAGGTAAAGATTGGGAGGAAGATGGACTGTGCTCTGTGAGCCTCCCAGGATGTCGAGCACCCTTTCTGTGTAGAGCAGAATGTGCTAGAACACGGGCTGTGCTTGGTGCGGAGAGAAGGAATGATGTTTGGAGAAGGGGTGATAAGAGACTAACACTCAAAGTGCTGATATTATAAAAGGTTAAAAATTTAAAATGAAAACGTTAAGAAGATATTTTATAATTTCCTCCTTAGTCTGCAGACCACAACTGAAGCCAAGCACACCTTTCTGAACATCAGCTAGTTTCATCAGATCGTTAGAGCTGAAAGGTATTTGGTGTCTATATTTATCATTTCACACATGAGGCAGCTGGTGCTCAGAAAAGTTCATTCTTTTTCTCAGAAGTCAGATAATTGGCAGAACCAGCTCTAGAATCCCACCCACATCCTCAAATACCTTCCTTCAAAGTTCAGCCTACGCTATCACCTCCTTTACGCTTTCTCTCATACTTGCTCTTTCTCTCTTATTTCCTAACAAAACCCAACTTTAAACTTTTCCTCATTTAAAAAAGTAACGTGAATTTTTTGCCAAAATATTTGAGGTCTTATTACACCTCCCAACATTCTTTCGTCATTTTTTCTTTCTTCATCCGGCCAGTGAGCCTGGGACTTTCACAGCGAGGGCCTCAGGCACTGGGAACATTGTTCCTGTCTTCAGAGAGCTTGCAGTCCAAGGGGGGAGATGGATGGCAAGTCTTAAAGAATGTCAAGTTCTCCCTTTGGGATTGAAGTCCCTCCATGATCTGACTCTAGTCCTGTCCAGGGTTCTCTTGGGAAAGCTGGACATATTGCCAACACAAGAGATTGCTGCTTACATTGACAGAGTTCTCACAGAGACAACTTCCTACTGAACATATACCAGCATAGGGAGGAGGTGCAGTGATTTTTATGGGTTTTGCCCCAAAGGTCATTAGGCTGTCCACACATATCCTTTTCCTAGTAGTATTTTTGTTATGTTTTAGCATAGGAGCCAACTAGTATTCCCAAGATTTGTATGTTTTCTCATCCTTTCGATCTGTCAATTTTATTAAAAAACAAATCTTACTTGAATAAGACAGGTTAGCCTGAGGACTGGTCTTTTAAAACTAACCTTTTACTTATGCAAATGTGTACCTGGCGTCCAAGCCAGCCAGCAGCAGCCTTTTTCCTGTCTGTCCAGCTCTGTCAGAAGAGTGGACTTATCTTGGAGAAATGCGCTTTGTTGAGTCGGGCGTAGATAGACTCAGGAATTCTCCAGCTGCCAGACATTTCAGAGATTTTCAGATGTTTGTTTACTCAAAGCAAATTGGATCCATATTTGTATGGCATTCATTAGATTTAACCTGTTTAAACAGATTTTCTTTACAGGTAATCTTGACTTTCTTTTTAAATGTGTTTGCTTAAAAAATGTGTTTGCCTAAAGCCATCTGTAAGTAAGCCACTATAACACAGAGTATTCAGTGTGAAAATATGTATAAAAATGCAAACTTAACTTTGAGTGAATACTATACTGGCTTATAAAGGTGTCCAGATGATTTCTATCATATTATATTTTCACATTCTATCATGTCTGTAGTGGAAACTGTAGAAAGTGAATGTCATCTGATCGCTGGCATTAATACAACGACCAGGCTGCCCTGTAAAGGATTTATGTTTGTACATTTATAGCCCATCCCGCCACCCCAACACTTGGCTCTTAGACCCCAGGGTCTCAGAGCACTGGGGTAAGAATTAGGAGACCTTGAGCTAGTCATGGCTCTGACACTCACTAGCTTTGTGGGTTTTAGCATTGTGTTTTCATCTACAGAGTGTAGCAGGTAGATAGATGTTTTAAGGACCCGTGCACTTTTGAGACGGGTGAATTGCATCATAGACTATTTCCTTCCATTTTGCACACAGAAAATCAAAAGCCATATAAGATGTGTGACCTGCTTATGGCCACAGAGAGAGTCACCGTCTCAAAAGTAATAGCTCAGGCTCTTCTAAATGTTTAGGGCCTCCCCATGCCTTTGGCTCTCATGCAGGGCCCCTCACTGTCACTCTGGTATTGAACTATGGTTTGGGAAGCCCAGTCATTTACATTTGCTGTTACATCCGTTAGGGATAACTTCTGGGTAGATATTTAAAAGACGTGAGAGTAATAAAGTTAGATGGTACAATCCCATTTTAATAATGAATTCTGTCCTACAATGTCAATCAAAATTGGTGTCTTAAATGAACTTAAATGAACTTTTCTACTGAATCTCATTTTGGGGAGAAACCAGAAATTACAATGAAACACGAGAAGCCACTCTCCAGGGTGCTTCAGGCTTTCCTCTTCAACTACGTTTAGAAACAACTTCTATGAGGAATGAACAAGGTTCCCACACCCCGTTCTCCTTTGGATCAATATTATTAAATAATTAATACTAGTAAGCTTGTTTGTGGCTCTTATCATTAGCTTGTGACTTTCTGTGAATCGTGTCTCTTGATAGCCACACATTTAGGGATATCGTGGATATATAGGGTGGGGCAAATGTAGGTTTATAGTTGTTTGTGTGGGAAATCATACAATAATTAATAAATAAGAATACAAAATAAACTCCGTTGTGTGTACTCACAACTGTCGACTTTTGCCCCACCCCGTATATTTGATTGCTTAGAAGCAGATCACATATCTCCATGTAAAACATCCTGAATCATTCGTAGGTTCACAGGTGCCACTTTAACTCAACTTGCAGCTCAACTGTAATACTTGTCTTATTAGCTTGTGTCTGGGGAGTAGGAGTCTACATAGGAGGAAGGAAGAGAACTGAGCACCGTTTTTGAAATTAACAGATCATCTCTTGGCACTGCCTGTCCTCTAACCTCTAACCTCTGTCGTCTGGGCCTCCGAGCACTCCTATGTCCCACTCTGGTCCCTTGTTAATCTGTAAATCAGTCCAACCTCCCCTTCGGCAGGGCAGCTGGTCTCCACTGTGGTGAGGATAGGATGTCCCCTGGTGACTGAACACATTTATACGAATGAGGAAATGGAAATTAGAACCTTAACTCCCAAGAAGCGATTTCTGTTTTCTTTTTTTGAATTGTGAAAAGGAACCTGATGGGTAGACTTGCAGGCACAAGGAAAGGGGAAAGGCAGAAGATTCAGGCCTGAAAATGTCTCCAGGTCCAGTTCTCCTTGTCCACTCTGTATTTGCCAGCTTTTTTTTTTTCATTTTCTCTTTAAAAGCTGCAGTTACATTGCCATCTCTCAGGGAAGGAGTGAAGTTGTGGGGATGATGGGAGAAATGGGGGAAAGCAGACATGGACCGTTTTCACCACTGACCTGTGTGAAGTGTTTGTATCAGTTCTGGCTTTTGAGTCAGGTATCTGGGTCCAAAGATCAGACTCACAGACTAACTTTGGCAAGTTTTTAACCTCAGAGTCTCCATTTCTTCACCATACTCGGGGGCATCATGAAAACGAAAGACAATTCATACAAAACCCTTGGACCACAGTAGATGCTCAGTAAATAGGTTATGCTATTAAGAGGCCAGGAATGGTTGGATAGTAGCGTTAGCAATATCTGGAAGGCAGCAGCATCCAAGAGCATTTTCTAATAAATGATAGGTACAGTGTTATTTGAAGGAAGGATGTCAGAGTTTTCTGTGTGTTTTGCATAGATTTCTGGGAATAGAAAACAGGTGGTGAAGCTGCATGATGTACAGTAGGTCCTCAGGTACGACGGAGATCCGTTCTTACAGCGCGACCTAACGCGATTTTCGTTGTAAGTGGGAACCCACCTACATAAGCACCTACGTCGCTCACATGGAGCACATTCACAGCAGTAATGAAGTGAAACAGTAAAAAAAAAATTAACAATTAAAAGAAAGATAACAATTCCTGACCTTTACTTGTGGCAAATAAATAATAAAAAACATAAAGCACATATGTGCAAACGTCGAAATGATGGAACTTTTTTTTTTTTAATAAATAAATGGGAGATGGCGTAACCATGAAACGAGGTATGTGGAGTCCCGGGTAACACGAGGACTGCCTGTAGGCACCTCCAGATGTGTGCAGATGAAGCCAGCTGAGCTGCTCTGAGGAGGGTGGGCCCTTTGCAGAGAGAGCCGGGCAGGATGCTGGAAGGGGCTTGCAAACCCAGCCAGCAGTCACCGGGACGTTGGCTTTTTCATCAGCAGTCATCCATAGTGGGTCTGAGGCAAGAATCAATACCAGAAGGAGAAGGTGACAAATCACTCATTGCCCAGAGACTGGCTATAAATCCAGTGCCTGTTATTTTCTGTGTAACCACTTTAAAGAAACTTCCACAGGCACCCATTCCCTGCAACACAGAGCCTCACCTCAGGACTTCCAAAGGTCTTTTGGGAAGATCTACAATTACCTAAGTGTTGTTAGTTGTTCTTTCAGGAGAGTGAAAGATGGACCCTGTTCCATTCTGAGTAAGCTCTATCAGCATTCATACCGTCTTTCCCTCCCATCTGTTCTTCAGTACTCATGGCTTTTAGAGAAATAATCTGCCTGGAGGCCTGCTTGCCTCTGCGTGTGTCGTAGGCATGTGCTTTACACCTATTGGCCCTGACTTACTACAAACTCACACTTAGTACATCTCCCCCTCCTTCCCCTCACTGCAGAAACACACTCTTTTTCTGTATAGCCTCTTGACAATCTGAAAGAACATGAAAGACTGTCTAGTCCAGTGACTTTCAACCTTTTTCATCTCATGACACACATAAACTAATTACTCAAATTCTGCGGCACACCAAAAAATATATTTGTGCTGGCCTGACAAAAATGGGTATAATTTGATTCATTCACAGCAGACGGCTATAGTTGTATTGGCTATTGTCCCTTTTTATTTAACAATCTAAGGGGAAAGAGGTCCGTCCCCCTGACTGCTGCACATGGGTTGAAAATTGCTGGTCTTGTCCAGCCACTCCTGGTAGTGAGGCAGTGGCCAGGAGAGGGGAGGTGGCGCCCTCTCAGGGAGCACTGGGCCCGGGCCCGGGGGTCCTGCTTCAAGTTCACAGCTCCTGGGACTCCACTGCTCCTCCCCAGAGCACGGGCTGCAGACCTGAGGCTCTGCTCCCCAAGTGCCTGCACCTCCACAGGCTCCTGAGCTGCTGGAATGTCTGGAAAGGGGGAGAGATAGGCAAATGAGCCAGAGGGTTGACACAAGGTGAGCCTTTTTAGACAGCGTTGGAATGATTAGAGCCGGGAGTTGGGGACCCCACAGCAGCGTTCTGTAGAGAGTAGATCTTTTGTAAGCAGTGATTTATTTTTCTGCTGAAGGCCAGCCTCAGGCGGAATTGGGAAATAGCCAGCTAGCTGTGATGCAGTGATTTTCAAACCTTTTCCCCTTCCTTTTAAAACTGTCAGCCACTTACCTCAAATAGAAGCATCAGAGGAAGCCCAAGATGTAAAAGGAATAAAGGTGATTGGGCTGGGGGTGGGAGGCACAGTCTCCTTAGCTTCTCACCTGCCCCACCCTCCACTCATTGCAGGGCTCTCAGGGAGGCTGGGCCCTTGGTATTTGTTGGGAAGCCACTGTTGCAGTGAAAAGCCAGTATTTGGAGCTCAGCCCAGCCTGTTAGTTACCTTAGGCAAATCCTGAAACCACGGAGCCTGACTTTCTTTTCATGTCAATTGAGGATAAAGCCTCACATGGAAAGGTTTTTGCATGTAAATATTGATAGACAATGAACTTGGTTCATAGCAGACACTGTAAATGTTGACTCCCACCTCTCTTTTTATCTTTTATTTCCATCTCCCCTTTCTGTGCCCTTTCCCTTAGATGTCCTCTGCCTCTTCAGGAGCCCAGCGACCTATGGCTCTAGCGCTCTCCAGGGCTCAGCTCTCCAGGAAAACCACAAGTCACTTACAGTGTCTGCTCAGGGCAGGCTGTCCTTCCCCAGCCTGTCAGAGTCGCAGTTAGACCAGAGCTAGCTTGAACAATTGACATTCAAAGGAATTGCCCAGAGGGACTTGACAATCAGTAATCATTCCCTTTCTGACCAGCAGGCTGACTTCTGTCCTTGGTTGAGACTAGTTTAGGCCTTTATGTAACATGACTTCACATTCCTGAACAGCGCACACATTCCTTAACATCCTCATGTTCTGTGAAGTCACCTTGTTAATGTAAAAACATTCAAACCTGTAAAGAATTCTTGTGAGTTTATTTGAGCCAAACTGTCGACAATTGCCGGGAAGCAGCTCCGGAGAATGGCGGGTTTTCACCTTGTTTTATGCATTACAATCCAAGGAGGAGGTGTAAGTGGGTTACATGAAATTTGTTGGTGGTAGATTAACCTCTGGGATTGAATAAAAAGTAAAATCATAGACACTTCTTTTACTTGGGGCGGGGGGGGACGACTGTCCACTTTGGTGGACACAGGATAGTTAAGAGTCAGCAATGAACATGATAACAATAACAATGAAGGAATTTGTGGTATCTGTCCTGACGCCCAGGGCATATGGTTGTGTCCTAAGGGATCCGGAAAAAAGGGAAGTTACAAGTTATCCTGATATTTCAATGATATGTTATCTTAGGTGCAAAAAGACAATAAGTTCAGTTAAGGTTAAGATTGACTTTATCAGGGAAGATACTACCAGGATGTGACTACCCACCTTAGCTACTTTTAGTTAAAGTTTAATTTCAGACCCTCCTTTGTGGTTACTTAGGTCTCTGAGTTTGCAGACTGCCACGCAGGCCTTCCCTGAGCTTGTTAGGCTAGCATGTGGCCCTTTTTGTCCACAGCTTTTTAAAAACAGCAGGGACTGTGGGGAAAATAGGGTGAAGCAAATCACTCAAAACCCATTTGAAGTAATCCTGTTATTTGCAGATTTTTAATATTTCCTACAACTTTTGTGATATACTATGTTAGCACAGTTTTGGTAATATTGTTAAACTTAAAATCCTTTTATTCTTGAAATATTTATGTATAGTGCATATTACACTAGTATATGTAAGATCATTTTTCTTGAATAATTGGTGTTTATTGCATGTAACATCATATTTAAAATGGTTTTTGATATATTAATGTTTATTGCATGTAACATTATTATTATATTTAGGATCTTTTTTGTAGTATTAAGGTTTATTGCATGTAACATTATTATATTTAAAATCGTTTTTCTTGAAATTAAAAAAAAACAACAAAAACTCAGGGGGAAAATAAAAACAAGTTACCCTGACATTCCACAGCTATGTTATCGAAAAAAACTGAGGGTGAAAAAAACTCACAAGTTACCCTGACATTCCACAGCTATGTTATCTTAGATACAAAAAGACAATAGGCTCAGTAATGATTGAGTTGATCTTTGTCAGGGAAGATACTGGCCCTAGGGCGTGACTAACCATTATAAATGGCTTCTGATGAAAGGTTTTAATTTCAGACCATCCTTTGTGGTTACTTTAGGTCACTGAGTTTTCAAGGCCGCCACACAGGCCTTCCCTGAGTTAGTCAGGTTAGCATGTGGCCCCTTTTCATCCACAACTGACACTTCTCTTATCGTGCTGACATCATTGTACCATTTGCCAGTCTGTACAAGCCAGTTCGCTGTACAACGTCACATTCTATATCGGGACAGTCTGTTCTAGATCTCAGTGGCCTAACCCCCAGATAGAGAGGACTCAGGAGGACACAGGTGAGTTAGGCTCCATCCCTGACCTCAGAAAACTCATGCTCTTGTGTGAGACAGGAATGTCTGTAATACAAGTCACACTGTAAATCCCATAAAATACCAGGTGTCCCATTTTGGGAGGTTAGAGGTAAAAGATTTAGGAGGAGAATTGGCAGGATTTCACCAGGCAAGGATGAAAGGCAAAAAGAAAAGAGTGAGCCAAGGCTGGGAACCAGAAAGCACAGGACATATTTGGGGAACCAGCATAGTTTGGGGGCTTCACCGTGGGGATGGAGCCACGGAGGGGCATGTAAAATAAAGGTTGAGGTGATGGTTGGCTCAGAATGTGGGGTGAGGGCACCATCAAAGGATTCTGAGCAGGCGAGTGATGTAATGAGAGTCATGCTTTAGGAAGCTCCTTTGGCAGCTTATGCTGGTGACGATGGTGAGGAGTAGAGTCCAATGAGGAGGTGTTGCAGTTGTCCCTGTGTGAGATGTGAGGGCCTGAGCTCAACTGTGACAATGTTGCCCAGTGGCAGCGGGGTCTGTGGGGAGGAACACTGTGCAGCAGACATTATAGAGACAGGATCTCAAGCATTTATCAACTGAGTGGATGGCTTAGGGCTCTGGTAGTGCCTTTCTCGCGATGACAGGTTTGCTGTTTTTGCTTACGATAGCCAACATGGAGCTTGGTTTTGGAATGTTTGAGAGCTCATACTGAAAGCCAGCAGGGCCCACAGCACATTTGTGTGAGAAATGCTCACATGTTCCAATTCAGATAACAGACGTGGAGACAGAAATATGGCGAAACGAGACTTTAATATGTTCTCGAGAGCAGAACGTGGGGCAGCGAACACAGCCTATTTATTCAATCCCTTATCTGGTTCCTCATTGGCTGAGTACTATGGGGCCACCTGTTTCCTCAAAGGTCACCTAGGAATTGCTGTCTCCCATTGGGCCATTTAAATAATTGGGCTGAGGCCTTTCTAGCAGCCTCCACCTTCCCCTGTCCAGCTGGGGCAGGCACCTTGGGGGTTTTCACCATGATCCTGGCCCACGCCCACAGTTCTTTGTTCCTATGTCCTCTTCCCTCCTCCCTACATCCTGCTTGCCGGGGAAATTCAGCGGATTCCATCGAAAGCCAACCATGCCGGAGATGGATCACAGAGGTCCATGTCCTACACTTGGATTCTGTGATTGGTCTTTACTGAAATGTGGACAATCCTTTGACCCTGGGGTTATTGCTGAGTGATCCATGCAAGCAGGTTGCCCTTGGTTCCGGGAGGGGAGAGAGGTGTTCCCTCTACTGACAGGCCTTCTACCTGACCCCCCATTCCTGGTCATGTCCTGATCATAGCACCATAGCATTTTTAAATTGGAAACACCTGAGAAATTATCTTATCTCTGAACCCTCTGCTAGATATAAAACTATGGCCCCCACAAAAGGTCAAGTGTGAGTGAAGGGCAGGTAGTGGCAGAACCCAGACTAGAAACTAGGAAGGGCTGTCACTTCTGATCTTCAGAAAATATTTTAAGTAATTTTGTTTATATTAGAGTTACCAAGAGAGATGGAACCAACAAGACAAAAAGGAGATTTATTATGAGCATCAGCTCTTGCTATTATGGAGGCTGAAAAGTTCCACTATCTGCTGTCTGCAGGCTGGAGACCCAGGAAAGCTGGTGGTGTCATCAGTCTGAGTCCACAGGCCAGGGAGCCAGGGGAGCCAGTGGTGTGAATCCCCGTCTGAGGGCAAGAGAGACGAGATAAAAGGACCCAGCTCAAGCAGCAAGCTAGGAAAAAAAAAGTGGGGAGTTGGGAGGGAGGGTGAATATAATTACTGTTCCTCTGCCTTTTCTTCAGGCCCTCAAGCAATTGGCTGATGCCCACCTGTTCTGGAGAGGGCAGTCTACTGAGTCCACAGATTCAAATGCTATTATCGCCCAGAAACACCCTTCCAGACACAACCATGAATACTTGGCCAGAAATCTGGGCACCCTGATGCAGAAAGTTGACAACTCACATGAACTCTCATAGGCTATTTGGAATTGTTGGTCATGATACTTTGTTTGTACAGAGCATTTTCTAAGTTTGCAAAGTTTTAATGGACCTGTTTCTTCTTTTGACCCCCATGTGACTTCATTGGTAGACAGACATTGCTCCTCCCTACAGGTGAGCTAATGGAGGCGTGACAGGTGTGACCTTCGCTGCTGCGCGGTGAATACGTGGGAGAAGATCAGGACCAGAGCCTAGGTTTCTCACTGTGATTCCAGTTCTCTCCCACAGCTGTATTGTGAATTCTGCGCTGTGGCAAACCAGTGGTTCTCAAAGTGCGGTCCTGAACCAGCAGCATCAGAGTCACCTGGAAACGGGTCAGAAACGCAGGTTCCCGGCCCACCCAGGCCCACCGAACCAGACACTGGGGGCTGAGGCCTGGCAGGCTGTGCTTTAGCAATTTCTCTGGTGATCCTGCATGCTAGTTAGAGAGCCTCTGTGGTAACGGGGTGGAGTCTGTTCACTCTTCGGGGCTTCACTCCATTTTGCTCATATATCAAATTGATCAGAGAACAGGGACGATGGTATTATAAACTGACCATGAAAATCTGCCTTTTACTCTTCCTCCTATTTTCCTTCCTCACTCTCTCCCTCTCCTTGTCACTCGCACCAGCCAGCTACTTTGTGGTAACCTTTCATTAAAGTATCCTGTCCCTTAGGAAGCTGGCAGAGTAGCCAAGTGCTCGCACTCATTCATCCCACATTGCTTGACACTTACAAGCAGGGCGGGCACTAAAATCAAATGACAAAAACAAAGAAGGGAGGGAGGTGGTTGGATAGATAAACACTAGGCTATTTAAAAATATATATATATTTTATTGATGTTTTACAGAGAGGAATGGAGAGGCAGAGGGATAGAGAGTTAGAAACATCGATGAGAGAGAAACATCGATTCAGCTGCCTTCTGCACACCTCCTACTGGGAATGTGCCCACAACCAAGGTACATACATGCCCTTGACCGGAATCAAATCTGGGACCCTTCAGTCCACAGGCCAATGTTCTATCCACTGAGCCAAACCGGTTAGGGTAGACTATTTCTTAAAAAACAAAAACAAAATGTCACAGGCCCAAGTAGCAACATTAAAAACCAGTGTTACTGATTCACCTACAGATGTGAACAGAATACTATTTTCCGAAAAGTACATTTTCTCAACATCTGTAAAGTTCCAGCAACTGTATTGGTAGCTTTATGTACCTGTCTCAGTCACATCTCATACTAGCCCTGTGAAAAAGGTAGTATTGTCGTAATTTTTTTTTAAATGAGGAAACTAAGGTTTCAAAAAATCAACTTATCAAAATGTCCTATAGCTAAACATCATGCAGCTAGGTTTCGAATTCAAGCTTTTCTGGGTCCTCAATGCATAATCTCTCCATCACATTATCCACATTATCTCTTAGGATTTCTTTCTTTTCTATATGCCTTTTTTAATCCCAAAGCTATGGAATTTTATCAATGGTTATATGACATCCACCTTTCCAA